TGCAACAAGGAAGCTTCATTTGGCAAAAAGCACAGCAATCTTTCTGCTAATTGATAGTAGCAGATGCAGTGGTATAATACTAATGGTAAACGTGCCATTTTGCTTCTGTTATTCTAATTCAAGGTACTGGTTATTAATGATACATGTATTTAATACATGTAAATTCTATGTTCTTGGCCTGGTTTCTCGGTACTTGTGAAAATATTCTTTCCAACCAAATTTGGCTTGCCCTGTATATATCTTGTAGAAAGAAGTTCCTGAGGGCTCTCCTGTGGAGAGGGACTTGGAAGTTAAAAGCACCCTTTCTCTGTCATGCACCATTGCCTGTCTTTAGAAAATCACCTTAGACATTAGTGTTTGCATGCTAATGGTGTGGAGGCTGCCCATAAATAGGTATTAGTTATTAAATGCTTCTTGGTTTTACAAATGGTTTTTGTTTATCTGTAAGCCACCTTGAGTCTATATAATGAGGTGGTCTGATTTGCTGTCTCTACTGCTAATAGGTGGCTATCCTATTACAGGGATAACAATTCTGCACATATCTTTATGTGGATTGCACTGGGTTATATTGAGCCTTTAGTTNCATTCCAAGTGTGGCATTACCATGGCATTATAAATACTAGGGCTTGAAAGATCAACTACAGACGAAGTAAAGGCCAAACTCGTCCAACAGATCCCAGGAACAATATCAGAGGTCTCTGCCCAGAAAGCCAATGTTAGAAAGATAATGTACGGAACCCTCAAATTACCTGGGCTCTGGTAGAGGACCCGAGATTGAGGAGGACATGTATCACCACAGGGCTGGGAAGCAAATTAGTATTCTTGTTATTGCCTCATCATTGTTGTGTTATATTTTTTATTTTGGGTAAATTTATATCTATATTTGTCTAGATAAAAGAGTGACAACTGGGTCTATTACTGTTCTTTAACTGAACTCAGAATTATTTTCAGATTAAAAAGTCTGAGCTCAATATAACAGTGGAAGGAAAAGAAAGTCTGTCAGGCTTTCAAGATTCTGTTATTATTCTATCCTGCAACTATCAAATAGAGTTCAATAGTCCATGTAGAGACTGTTTCCTGACCTGGCCACCTTGCAATGCTGACATCCTTACGATCCAGCTATGAGACAAGTTTGCTTTATTTGCTTCAGCCTGTGGTCATTCCAAGGCTTGATATCTATTTTTGCCAAAGGATTTGGATTTTTTCATCCTTAATTTGAAAAGTTTTTGGTGGAAAATGGCAGAAGGGGCTGGTTCCTTATTTCCAGATGCTGATATAGAAGGCAAGATTGGTCTAGATAGGCCTGTCTCATCTGTGTTTTAAATATGAATGTGATGGCCAAGCTGATATTCATGAAGTGACTGGGTCCCAGGAGGCTTTTGGGTGCACAAGATTCTGGTGATCTCATATTATATAAAATCCTATATGGCATTAGTCCAAGCTATTTCTGCCTATTTTCAATAGTTTTCACCTGTCCCAACAGATCTGGCAGTCATGCTCCAAATCCCTTCTGGTAGGGTTTAGGAGATGTGTTTTTTCCACTGTGGCACTTATCCTATAAAACAGCATCTTTTCATAATTCAGTTGGCCCCAACCCTATTAGCTTTCCATAGAATCTTGAAGATATGGATTTTCCCCTAAGCATTGGGCCAAGATATTAGTTGAACAAGTGGATAAGGTTGGTTATAAATATTTTATTAGGAGCCTCACTTGCATTATATTGTTATATATATTTTAGTTATGTTTTTACTTTTCTGTTATGTTACTGGCACAATACCCAGAATCATGGGGTTGAGATGGGCAGCTATATAAATAATGTAAAATAAACAAACATAAGCTCCTAGATAATCATATACCACTAGAATTTTCCCTAAACTGATTTATTAACTAGGAAATTGGCAGACTAATAAAACAATTTTCTTCTGAGTGCTTCTACAAGTTACTTCTATAAAAAAAAATAGAAGAACGGTGCCTGTTTAGGTAACTGAAAAGGAAATACTAGGCCATTTCCAGTGTCTCAAGATGACCACATGAGCAGATGAAGATCTAATAGTCACTGCACTATTTACCATAAGAAACATTTTATAATACTAAGATGCATTCCTGGGACTCCGAACTGAAATTTGATGGAATTGCAGAAGCAATTGTTGACCTACTGAGAAAATGAAGGTTGGTGGCCTCTGCTGACCTGTATTCGTTGGAAGCAGAAGAATGATACAGAAGTTAGTAGGGTCAACCCAATGAGAATGAGATTAAAGTGGAGTCTCTGATGTATTTGCATAAGATAGATGACTTAACCTTAATATTCACAATAGATACGCCAGCCTATTAATAAGACACATTTCACTTTAGCTGGAAACTTGTCTCACGGCCTAATTATCAGCTATTTCATACTTCAGAGAAATGAAGATTTGATTTATACAGTTATCATATGTGATTAAATCACCAGAGGTAGAGAGCAGCGATTTTTTTCCCCGTTGTGTATTTCTAAGGAGAGAATGACACTTTGTTAGGGAATTCTTTTCTGCAGTTCTTCTAGGTTTTTTTTTTTTAAAAAAACTTTTCTTTAAAATCCTGATATTTCAGCTTGAAGGGTAGCTTCAAAATTTTGTATCAACATTCCAAGACCTCTAATGAACCATTCTGTTATCCCTCAGGACAGAGCTAGCTTCAATGATTTTCATGAAGAACTGAGTCAGAAAAATGCCCTCTTTTTTTCCTGGCAAAATCCTAGACCTTTGAATCATTTTTCTCTTTAGTCATTTCTTTTCTGTGGTGGAGTAAATAGCTAGAGAATATCAGAAAGTCCTTAAATGAAAAGAAAACATTGACGGTATCAAATAGATTCCTTTTATTGCATTGCAGTAACATTCTTCTATGTAGATGGTATCATAATGTCAAATCACTTTTTAAATTAGATTTACATGGCTCTTCTCCTTCTGTCTAAATATGGTTGACCGGCTATTTGAAATCAATTCCTTTATAATAATTATTTAGCCAATATATTTCCTGGTAAATAATTCAGAGCTGATTATACCAGCAGGAGTGCATTTGATTTCTGCTCTAGGGATGCTGTAAGCATTTGCTAATGCAGTCCTCGTGTTGACATCAGCTAGTAGCCTTGGGGACCAAAAGGTCAAGCAAAGAATATGTTGTAGAAAGGGTATGACTTCACTAGCATGCCCAGCTCCTTCAAATCTTGATTCTGTCACCACACAAACAACCTAATTTTATGAGACAAAAACAATGAGTTAAAGGGAGAACCCAAATCTACTGCTCATTCTGCCTACATACAAGTACTTCTACAACATGACAAAAGGTGCCTCATTCTACAGCTAGTCAAGGCACAAATGCAATCACATATTGTAAATTTCCATCTAGGAATGTGGATTCCTTTACTTAGATGAGACAGCTTGAGGCAGGGTGTTATTTCATTTTTATCTTACAAATTGAGCGTACAAAGAGGAACTTATAATGTGAATTTTAGTGAAAGGGGTCAGTGATTTAAAAAGACAGCATCATGTCCAAATAGCCTCATTTTATAGCAGATCCTCAACTGTTAGCATTTTTAGTGTATTTGTTTATTTGTTTATTCATCAGACTTACATACTCCAAGAATACAGATAGAAAACATGATAAAAATACAATGAAAATGCAAATTGGCTACAGCCTTCCTTTTAACTATTGAATAGCACCAGCTAGTATAAGGCAGTATCAACTTTCAAAAACCCTGGGGAATAAGCCCATCTTTGATAGCCTTTTGAAATAAAGCAAATGTTACTATCAATCCAACCAAGGTTGAAGTATTGCAACGCATGGGACTGCTCTTGAAAGTTACTNTTAAGATCCAATAAATTCACACTAAGAACGCATACATATGTTTTTTCTTTCACCTCCCTCACGTTTTTGTATCCAACGTTGCGTCTTTTTTAACCTGTAAATCTGCAGGTGGGGTTCACATATGGCTATTCTGAGGATCTTTTTGAAAGCCCAGCAAATTAAAAGTACATTAACTAATCCATTTGTTGTATTTAGTACCATCTTTGAGATTAGCAATAGCATTGCCCAAATAATTCTCATTACTGGGCAACAGTGAACTTCCTATGTTGGGTGCAACATTCAATTTCAAATAATTTTGGAAGCTTAAAGCCCCAGATGTCACTACTCTCTCCATGTCATCAATCGGGGGTTTGCACATGAGAAGCTGCAGGAGTGCAAACACTCAAGGTAATAATAGCATTCCAAGGGGTTTCTGACAGGTGAAAGCTCTACAGAGCGCTGGAGTAGAAATTTCTCTCCGAAATGCTATATATAAAGCTTCGCTTCCCCGAAAAAGCTTGCAGCTGAGGGATCAATTTGATTCTGCAGGTGGTAGCTCAATGAGCCCCAGAGAAAAGGTTCAGGCGGTAGTCTTCAGATCGTACGCCATAGGATTTAAAGAGAGACCAGTGCAGATACGGTTTCAAGCGGACTGGATAAACCCGTAGAGAACCATAAGCGGCCCGAAGCGATGTATGCATCTGTCAACGGTCTTCCGCCAAGGGTCGAAAGAAAAGCAACTTAGAAGGACCGGTCACGTGCCCCCCGCCAATACCAGCAGTCTTAGAAATAGGCCCTAGGGCGCCACGTGCTGGGGGGGGGTGAGACGTGTGTGTGTGTGTGGGGGGGGGTAAGATAGGTGCGCGCACCGGCCAGCTCCTGCAAGAAAGTAAGGTTGACTGCGCCATGCGTTGGGGAGCGCGCGCAACACGGACCGCCTGGGCCTGACGAAAGGTCCAAGAGAGCGAGAGCGCTCGTTTATCAGCCAATTGCCTAGAGAGCATGCGCCGTGGTGGCGGCGGCGGCGGCAGCGGCTGCCGAGGATGGAGAGCGTTCGGATCCGAGAGATGGGGAGGAGGGAAGTGAGGGGAGGAGGCTGGGCAGGTCGGTCGCCTATGTGAGGGAAAGTAAGCAGTTTGCATTCGCTCAGTGCCTGCCTCAACGGAGCTGAGAGCTCGCCGCGCGAAGCTGCCTGTTCCCCGTCCCCTGCGAACTGCTTCGCCGGTGGCATTTCGTTGCGGGAGAAAAGGGGGGGGGGTGTTTTGCTGAGCTGCCGGTTCGCTTTTCTGGAATAAGCGGGAAGGAGGGGGGAGTCCTCAGGGTGCCTGCTTGCTTGCCTCCAACACCCGAGCAGATTGCCAGCCCGAGCAGGAGCCAGCGCGTTTCGGCAGCCAAGCGCCACCGCCGCCACCAACCACCGCTACCGGGCGGGAGAGGGGAGGGGAGGGGGGAGAAAATTGGTGCCGCCACTGAATTTTTAATGGAAAAATGGCGATCTCGGCTCAGACCTGCGGCACATCTTGCCTCGTCCGGGCTCTCTACGGCCAAATCCTGCTAAGCTTTCTCGTCTCGGCTCCCTCCGCGAATGGCTACAGTTTTCCTCAGCAGTACACGTAAGTAGGAGCTGCTCTCCCAACCAACCTAGGCTGCCAGGGCAGCCAGTCGCCACGGGGAAGTGCTGCCTCGGGCTGTCGGGTCGGGTGCTTTTGCGGCGCAGGTTGGTCCGGATTTGCGCGCCTTTGCGCTTATCCCGCTTCGAAGGACCACCGGCGATGTCACTTTCCTGTGGCCTTAAATAGAGGACCTTATGAAAAAGTAGACCTATCTGGTTTGCAGGGGTTTCAGACAAGGCTTTGGGGAGGGTGAAAGAGGGGGCTGGTTGACGGTCTTCTGTGCCAACTTACCTTTCCCCACTTGGGTACTATCAAATCCTTAGCTGGCTTATGGAAAGTGATGGTGGCAGAGCAAGATGTGCTCACCTGATTTTAAAAAGCAAGGATGCATCCCTTTCTGTAACTGTTGAGGCTGATCATTTCCAGCAAACTAGTACAGTCAACGAAAGAAAGATCGTCCTTGCATTGTGAATTCATTGATTCACAACTCTTTAAGAGAAGCAAAAGTTTGAAAATATTGCAGTGGAGTAGTCATGAACCCATTTCTCTTCCCCCCTTGTTCAACTAGACTCATTTGTTAGAAATGGCCAAGATTTCATTGCAAATGCTAGCAGCAGCAAGTTTCTGTTTTGAAGTTCTCCTTTCCTGTGTCACTTTCTGCATTCTTCTCCCCCTCCCTTTTTATCTAAAAAAAGCTCATAGTGCTTTTAGAAGTAAAAAGATTGTTGAAATTAATGTGTATGTGGATCATCTGTATAAGGAGAATTGCTTTTTATGTCTTATGAATGTATCCATACAGCCTCCACAATCTAGGAATTATTGACAGAGTGCAAAGCAAGTAATAAATTGATAAGGGGGGCAATGCAGCTATTTAAAGCTTCAATCCTATCCCTCTGTATAGAAGGGTGAATAGTATCTTACTGCACTTAAGAATAAGCATGTTAAATGCCTTTTGCTACTGTAGTGGATAGTTTGCTGTTCTGAACATTCTCATTCAAAGCATATATCAGCACTAATTATTCTGATACTTTTAAAATTGCACACAGTACCTTCAGGAATCAAATTTGTCCTATTCCTAGGATTTGTTATAAAGGCAGGCAGCATGCTCACTTGTCATCTACTTCTTTAAGTGAGGATAGATTTGATAACCCAAATCAATAACAGCAAGGTTACTCTTATATAGCTCCTGGCATTAGTAGTTTGTTTTAGTTTAAGATCCATTGAAGTCTTCATAATATGACAAAATATTTTAATAGTGTAACTGGCTCAGTGATTTTAAATGCTATGACCTGCTGAAGGGCATGCCAGCAACTGAATGCATAGTTTTAACTTATACGGAGGAAATGGGAATTCTTTTTCCAATGCAATACTTTTTGGGTCTTTAGAAATAGTGTGATAAATTCTGATTGGGCACAGTTCCCACTACTGGCCTTTCTCCACCCAGATAAAAGTTTCCTGTATTTATTTAGCTACAGAATATACATTTTTTCTCCCCAAGAGTATCTGGTAATACTGCTTTAGTCCTTCAGTGCATCATACACTACTGACATCTGAGTCTAGGCTGCTAGACTTCCATCTGCCTGTCAGACAGACCTATAAATTCAACTAGGATTTAAAGTTGAAAGTGGTTTTTTTTTTACCCTGGGTAGGAAACCAAATACTAACACTTGTTCAGTACTAAATGTTCATGGTTTCATTTTCCAGTCTCCCTGTGTGCATGAGTGGCTGTTACTCATGCAAGCAGTCCCTCTAGAAATCATCACTTTATTGCTTTCTAACAAAAGATGATTTAGCAGTCCCAACCATTAAATTGTACTGTGCTGTATTAGATTTTTTTAGAAAGGGAATTTAATTAAAAAAACTGGCTGTGGGTATCACAAACAAGAACTACATCTTACAGAATATGTGAGCTTTATATAGTTATATAAAATCTAATATAAGATGGATTGGACCAGGTTTAAATGTAAATCATGTTAGATTAAAATTTCGAAATAATATTGATAGATTAATTCAATAGACTTACTGGGAAATAAATCCCTTTAGAAAGTACTTGTGAATGTGCATTCATATAAGTGAATTGTATAAAATATATTTTTATGAGCTATCCTATAGTCCTGTTCCTAGTTAATACCAAAAGTCCAAATTCTACATTTCCAAAGCTCTTAGAACACTTGTGGAAGACAACAATGGTCCAATTATACATAATGTATAGATTAATCTATGCATATGTGCATTTCCTGAGTTCTGTGAAAACATTTTTTTGTCTCTTTTTGCCTTTATTTCCTCAAACCAATTGGGTAAATAAATGAGGGGCATGAATGGTTAGTTGATGTTGATGTATCACTGCTTGCTAATGCCCTTTAACGTGTGGGCTATAATACTAGCTACGGCTCCTCAGAGTTCCCATCACTGTCATTCAAATGCTTAAAGGCTCAAATGCTACCAGAAAGGAAGGCAAAAAGAAAAATGTCATACTCTCCTTGGAATTATTTTCCTTCAACAGTCTTAGTTAAGTGACCAATGATTAAAAATAACTGAACTGCTGAAAGCAAGCCATATTTTGCAGAATTACTATGTAATTATGTTTCTTTAATAAAATTGTGTTTTTCTTTTCCAAGTACATTCATTTTATTACTTCAGAGCTTACTACTCTATGTGGTATCCATATAATTATTTATATAACAATTGCCCTTTATAGGAATTTATAGAGAAATGTTCCCCAAAGCTCATAAATTGAAATAGCAAACAATACACTGGGGGTACAGGGTGTGTGTGTGTGCGGAGAGAAAAGAGGCAAGTGGTTGATATAGGAAAATGCAGTTATCTTTATTTAAACTTAGAGGATTAAACTGAAAGCCTTAAAAAAAGGTTTGAAAGAATATTGGAAGGCTTTCGGACCAACTGAATGATTCTGAGCCATGGAATGATATCAGAAATTGGCAATTTAAGAGTTTGTTCTCACTAAATTACTTATTCCCATTATGTGCAGCACTAACCCTTCAGAGAAAGTACTTTATCTTTATATGTAATCCTGAAACTGCCTTTTATTAGAGTAGTTTTGGTCTCAGATGCAGCACGATTGGTGTATTTAGTCTTTGAGCAGTGAAATTCAGACACTATTTAAACAATTGCAGTACATATGAGTTCCCAGTTCTGGTTCCTAGAACATTGCCTCTGTGTTTGTGTTTTTATTCATCTTATGCTGAACTAAGGAAGGATTGGCTCAGTCTGCTGCTCAGTGTAGGATTTCTCACTGAGGTTTAAAAAGAAAAATCCACTATTGGAAGGGGCCTATTTTGCTAAGGACATTGAGTCATCCACCTGAGAGGCATGTTGCTTTTGATAAATGGTATGCCTGTGTGTGCAACAGGGATTAAAGGCTTTACTTTTTGAGGTAGACTGTTCTTTTAAATACTTTCTGCCAGCATTGCCCAACTGATGCTAAATAGAAACAGAGTTTTTGGGAGGTATGGCAAGCAACCTTAGTCTCTTTTCATGTAGAGTGAAAAGAGACCCTGTGTGAAACTGTTCTGCAACCTGTACCTACATAGGATAGTTATGAGAACTTTATAAGAATTAAAATATGTCTACTATAAAATAAACTCCAAATATATCCATAATCCGTAGCTGTTACTTCTTTTTAGTTCAAAGCAGTTAGTCTGTTAAAGTGTAATAAATCAGAAGTAAGATTTGTCTATAGCTGACTTCATCGCATCTTGTCAATCAAAAATGATAAAATCAACCTATATCCAACTTACAAGAAAAACTGATTAGTTTTTAAATATCAAACACTAGGTCTAAAATAAGGTTTTTAAAATCATTTATGGAGTAGGAATATATTTGGCATTATTATTCATAAATGAATATTCTGGTAAACTAATCCTATTGCTGGCAATTTAAGTGAGTTATTACTTGCTTCAGTTCCCCAGTTATTTATGTATATCCCATCTTTAATATTTTTACAAATAAGTCAAGGCAGCAAACATATCTAACATCCCTTCTTCCTATTCCTCCCACAACAACAATCCTAACATCCCTTCTTCCTATTCCTCCCACAACAACAATCCTGTGAGTTAGTTGGATATTGTATTTGCATTTGAAATGGACAGTAAAATCAGGCACTTGGATTTGATGTCTTTCTTCTGTTTGATGAAACCTCGTGTGTTGTATGGGGCTGGTCATCCCCCTCCACATGCAAATAAAATCTAGAGTTGGTCTAAATTTGGAGTATTTGTAGTATCTCTTTCTGAGTCTTTCTATTTTGGGGTGATAGACAAATCTCATAAGTCAATAAATCAATAAGAATGATGTTCTATACATTTTACTAAATTCACATTATGTCTTTTGATATCAATTATTTATATCCCAGTTTTTCACTAAAGGTACCTAGAGCAATGTACCTTTATATAGGCATAAAACCATATATTCTAATCAATAAAAAGCTCAAAGTCAAGAAAAAAATACAAAGGTTTACCAATACATAACCAAATAACTAATAGTAGCACAGGTAAAACATGCCAATCATCAAAACTGGCATCAATAGTATTAGTTGTTAAGATCTCATTACAATATCTGGCATCAAGAGGGAACCTGGCAATTATCATTTGGTGTCATGGGCTCTGACCTAAGAAAAGCCTTTTCATGCTCACTGAATCACCTGAGATTGTAACAAGAATTAGGTCTCTTTAACTGATTATAATCCCTAAGTAAAACTGTATGGGAGCAAGCAGTCCCCATGATAATCTTTCAGTTTCTAAATATCTTAGTACTAACTTGCATGGATATACCTGATGTAAGGAAATAGGGTTGTTGTTTTTTTGCAGAGAATGCCTGTATAACAGATCGTGCTGNATTTTCCTGCACCGTTTGCTTTTTCCTTGATTTTTTTCTTTTTTTTCTTCCATATTTTCCATTTGTTTTTGTTATCTTTTATCTTCTGGTTTAATAACTGTACACACACAGACACACACACATGGAAAGGAAGTATGCAAATCCATTTT